TAGCAGTATGCTTAGGGTCATTGTCCTGCTGGAAGGTGAACCTCCGTCCCTGTCTCAAGTCTCTGGAAGACTGAAACAGGTTTCTCTCAAGAATTTCCCTGTATTTAGCACCATCCATCATTCCTTCAATTCTGACCAGTTTCTCAGTCCCTGTCGATGAAAAACATCCCCACAGCATGATGCTGCCACCACCATGCTTAACTGTGGGGATGGTGTTCTCGGGTGATGAGAGGTGTTGGGTTTGCGCCAAACATAGCGTTTTCTCTGGGGCCTTTCAGAACAGGTGTATGTATACTGAGATCATGTGACAGATCATGTGACAATTAGATTGCACACAGGTGGACTTTATTTAACTAATTATGTGACTTCTGAAGGTAATTGGTTGCACCAGATCTTATTTAGGGGATTCATAGCAAAGGGGGTGAATACATATGCACACACCACTTTTCAGTTATTTATTTTGTAGAAGTAATTTTTTTCATTTCACTTCACCAATTTGGACTATTTTGTGTATGTCCATTACATGAAATCCAAATAAAAATATTTTTAAATTACAGGTTGTTATGCAACAAAATAGGAAAAACGCCAAGGGGGATGAATACTTTTGCAAGGCGTTGTAATCTCATTGATCAGCATCTCTACCAAATATTACGTAATTGTCCACGTTGAAATTATGTGGTGTCCACAGTAGGTAAAGACCCTGAACAGCTTCTTCTTCCAAGCCATAAGACTAGTAAATAGTTAACCAAATAGCTATCCGGACTATCTGCATTGACCCTCTTCGCACTAACTTTTTTGATTCATCACATATGCTGCTGCTACTGTTTATTATCTATCATGTTGCCTAGTCACTTTACCCCTACCTATATGGACATATCTACCTCAATTACCTCGTACCCCTGCACATCGACTCGGTACTGGTACCCTGTGTATATAGCCAAGTTTTCGTTACTCATTGTGTATTTATTCCTCATGTTATTAATTTTCTGTATTTTTCTCTCTGCATTGGTGGGAAGGGCCCGTAAGTAAGCATTTCACTGTTAGTCTACACCTGTTGTTGACGATCATGTGACAAATACAATTTCATTTGTAGACCATTTTGTGGTTTGGTTGCACTTTATTTTGAGGAAGCGACCGCTAAGAGTGTTATTTATAAAGTGTCAATTATGCTGCCTTGTTTGACTCGCAGTTGATAGTTTGTTGGTAGTTGGAGCATTTACAGTATATCATCTATTGGGGACTATCCAAAAAAAGTGTGACCCACTTGTATGCTATGAGTGGACAGTGTGCTGCCTTCCTGCTCTTGACCATTGCCATACAATAGATGTCAGACTTGGTGCAAGCGTGTGAGAGGGGTTAGTGACCGTTGGGTCATTTAAAAGGTGTCACAAACAGTGAGTTTGTTCACACGGTCAGTCTGTAATTAAAATAAAATAAAATAAAATAAAATTGTATTTGTCACATGAGCCGAATACAACAGGTGTAGACCTTACAGTGAAATGCTTACTTACAAGCCCTTAACCAACAATGCAGTTGTAAGAAAAATAAGTGTAAAAAATAGAAAATTAAAATTATTAAAGAGCAGCAGTAAAATGAGTAGTGAGGCTGTATACAGGGGGTACCGGTACAGAGTCAATGTACGGGGGGAACAATGCAAATAGTCCGGTTAGCCATTTGATTAGCTGTTCAGGAGTCTTATGGCTTGGGTGAGGAAGTGTTAAGAAGCTTTTTGGACCTAGACTTGGCACTCAGGTACCGTTTACCGTGCGGTAGCAGAGAGAACAGTCTTTGTCTAGGGTGGCTGGAGTCTTTGACAATTTTTAGGGCCTTTCTCTGACACCGCCTGGTATAGAGGTCCTGGATGGCAGGGAGCACTACCCTCTGTAGTGCCTTGCGGTTGGAGGCCGAGCAGTTGCCATACCAGGCAGTGATGCAACCAGTCAGGATGCTCTCGATGGTGCAGCTGTAGAACTTTTTGAGGATCTAAGGACCCATGCCAAATCTTTTCAGATTGTCAGAATAGGCTTTGTCGTGCCCTCTTCACGACTGTCTTGGTGTGTTTGGACCATGAAAGTTTATTGGTGATGTGGACACCAAGGAACTTGAAGCTCTCAACCTGCTCCACTACAGACCCGTCGATGGGAATGGGGGCGTGCTCGGTCCTCTTTTGTCTGTGGTCCACAATCATCTTCTTTGTCTTGATCATATTGAAGGAGAGGTTGTTATCCTGGCACCACACGGCCAGGTCTCTGACCTCCTCCCTATAGGCTGTCTCATCATTGTCGGTGATCAGGCCTACCACTGTTGTGTCGTCGGCAAACTTAGTGGGGGTTTTTAGCTTAGTGATGAGCTTTGAGGGCACTATGGTGTTGAACGCTGAGCTGTAGTCAATGAATATCATTCTCACATAGGTGTTCCTCTTGTCCAGGTGGGAAAGGGCAGTGGGGAGTGCTACAGAGATTGCGTCATCTGTGGATCTGTTGGGGCGGTATGCAAATTGGAGTGGGTCTAGGGTTTCTGGGATAATGGTGTTTATGTGAGCCATGACCAGCCTTTCAAAGCACTTCGTGGCTACAGACGTGAGTGCTACGGGTCGGTAGTCACTTAAGCAGGTTACCTTAGTGTTCTTGGGCACAGGGACTATGGTGGTCTGCTTGAAACATGTTGGTGATCACACACCGTCCGGAAAAGCTGATGCTCTCATGCATGCTTCAGTGTTGCTTGCCTTGAAGCGAGAATATAAGTAATTTAGCTCGTCTGGTATGCTCGTGTCACTGGGCAGCTCGCGGCAGTGCTTCCCTTTGTAGTCTATAATAGTTTGTAAGCCCTGCCACATCCGACGAGCATCGGAGCCGATGTAGTACGATTCAATCTTAGTCCTGTATTGAAGGCTTTGCCTGTTTGATGGTTCGTCGGAGGACATTGCAAGATTTCTTAAAAGCGTCAGGGTTAAAGTCCCGCTCCTTGAAAGTGGCAGCTCTACCCTTTAGCTCAGTGCGGATGTTGCCTGTAATCCATGGCTTCTGGTTGGGGTACGTACGTACGGTCACTGTGGGGACGACATCATCGATGCACTTATTGATGAAGCCAGTAACTGATGTGTACTCCTCAATGCCATCGGAATAATCCCAAAACATATTCCAGTCTGTGCTAGCAAAACAGTCCTGTAGCTTAGCATCTGCGTCATCTGACCGCTTCTTTAGTGACCGAGTCACTGGTGCTTCCTGCTTTAGTTTTTGCTTGTAAGCAGGAATCAGGAGGATGGAGTTATGATAAGATTTGCCACGTCTTAAGACTTGGCAGATTTCACTCAGCTACTAATACCAAACTATTTTTTACATCTTGGCACCATTGTCGGCAATACTGGGGACAGTTACCAAGATTCAATACATGTGGTATTTACAGACCTTGCATAACAATTGGTTTCCCCATGCAATTTTCCCAAGACTGTGGGATTACGTCCAAATATGTTAGTGAGGGCAACATTTGAAGTGCCATTTAGAATTATGGCCTCAAGCAGACTGGTAAAGTAGCTGTGTTCACTTTCTTTTTCAAGTTCTGTAGGACATTATACTTTTATACAGATAAATGGGCAATAGATATAATGGATAACTGGATTTATGTAGCACTTTTCCAGGTGTTCAAACTGCTTTCCTTTGTTTACAGTTATGTTTTAGTCATTTAGCAGACACTCTTATCCAGAGCGACTTACAGTTAGTGAGTGCTTAAATTTTTTCATACTGGTGCCCCGTGGGAATCGAACCCACAACCCTGGCGTTGCAAGTGTCATGTTCTACCAACTGAGCTACAGGGACTGTTTGTAGGGAAGTTAACCTCATCCACTACCAAATGTGTAGCACCTGCAAATTGCAAGTACAGTGGAGTTTTCACTGATTCATCTTTTTTGGTGCGCACAGAAAAGTGATATCTATTGTCACTGTGCAAATGAAAACCTTATTGCGAGGTTCTGAGTGGGTCATCATAACCACTATAGCCAGACTCAGACAGGAAACATCTGGTGGGGAGTGGGTCGCCAACCGGAGAATTGCTGACATCAGTGTCCTAGTCACCGTATTCTGTCATTGTGCCATTGAACAAGTAATTTAACCCCTAAACTGCTCCAGGGGTGCTGCACTGCATTTGACTCTTGCTCCAACCTCTCTGCGCGTGTGTGTTTGTGTTTGCCTTGGGGGAGTTGGGATAAAGCAAAAAGACAAATCTCTGTTTCCTTTGTCAATAGACAAATCATTAATCTTCTTCTAAAGTGAAGATGTGGGAAATTGATAGAATTGGCTTAATAGATGGAAATTTGCTTACTGAAATGCAAAATGCACTTTTAAAGTATTTTCAGATTCTCTTTTCTTCCATCCGTTCCTTGCAGTGTTACTTTTACCCACATATAAACATTGCATGTTTGTGAGCTTTTAGTCTAACATAGTTAATTTAAGTTACTGTGACTGAAATACTGAATGGGTCATTGAGTAGGACTTCACATACCAAAGGACATTTCCTGAATGCACATGTGAAAATGAATGCAGTGAATCTCTGGAGATCACAGCTGACAACATCAGTCCGGTTGGATCCGGCATCTGTGCTGTATATGGGCCACCTTGTGGCAAAACCAACGCAGCCCACCAACAGATTACCAGTCACGACAGGGCTTAAATGAACAAACTGAATTTGTGGGGGAGGAAAAAAGCCAAACAACATCACAGTGGATTATGACTATTTCGGAAGTATTTTCTGTGATAATAAATAGGGACATCTCTGCGGATTACGGGATGCAATACGCATCCAGATGAAAAGAACTACAGTCCTTTCGCTAATCCTTGTCTATCCTTTTTATCTTGGGACTCATAGCAGTCTGATCACTATGGGGCAGCGAAGCGGTGGGACAAAGCAATGCGGATGATACTCCGGTAAATGAGATACTCAGGTCTGTTTGGCTTCAGTGGGCGCTGACTGGATGCATGCAGGCTCGCTGTGCAGTCTGAAGATAAATGTGGGCCAAAATGTTCCTCGTGTTCATCCTGGGACTTTACCTGGGGACAGGTGCGCTTCCCTCCTCGGTGAGTGCGTGCCCGTCGCAGTGCAGCTGTTTTTTTCACGACCTAAGTGATGGATCTAAGGCCAGGTGAGTAGAAGAAATGAATGACAAAGCCAACCAAATGATCGCTTTATGCGCACGTTTTCTTTGTTTGTGCACTCATGTGCATACGCATTCCCTTTAATTGAAGATCATTTTCTCGCATGATTACAGACGTTTGCCGCACACTGTGAAATCAGGACATGGACAAAGTCAATTAGGGGAGTGCATGATGTCCAATTTTATTTAATATAGGATTATCTTGCAATGGCATGTCAACCAACTCTCCATCTCTTCATAATCTCTCTGAGTTTAGTTTTTCGTGAGAGTTTTATTGATTGACTATACTTATGATGCAAATAATTATAATATTAATTGACATTTAGCTAATATGATTTCATTTATATGAAAACCCAATTTAGCATTTCACATAAATGATTCATACCAATCATTAATTTTTTACAAAAAGACAGTTCAAATAATAATAAGTGTGTATTTCTTTCCTCACACATTTGAATTGAAATAACATAAGCCTAGGTTAAACACATCCCATTATGTTTCCTCAGGAGTGTCATTTGCAACGACCCCGAGATCTCCCTTGTGCCTGCCAGTTTCCCTGTGGACACGTCCAAGCTGCGAATCGAGAAAACTGCCATCCAGCGGATCCCGAGTGAAGCCTTTAACTACCTCCCCAATCTGGAGTTCCTCTGGATGTCCTTCAACGTGCTGTCCGCTCTCAACCCGGACAGTTTCCGTGGGCTGCTAGATCTGGAGGAGCTGCGACTGGACGGGAATGCCCTCACCGCGTTCCCCTGGGAGTCTATTATGGATATGTCCAGCCTCAGGCTGCTGGACTTGCACAACAATCAGTTGACCTCAGTTCCCGCAGACGCCACAATTTATATAAAAAACCTGACCTACCTGGATCTATCCAGCAACAACATTCTGACTGTCCCTGCTGAGGTGCTAGCCACCTGGCTAACGGTTAAATCTGCGCATGGCCCAGATAGCTCCAAAATGATACTTGGTAAGGCAGAGCGATTTTTACCTTTATTTTTCCTTGTATTTATCTAACCTAATTAAACAGGTGATCACATGTACCATTGAGATACAATCTAATTTACAAGTGAAATGTGGCTAGAAGGCAGCTCTAATATAAAACCACAACACATCAGTGTCCTAGCACTTTATAATAACACCTTGTAATAAAGCATTTATAATGGATTAGTAATTAGTTTATACATCATTTACTTATCATTAATCTGCCATTTGTAAATATTAGTATTATTAAATACTTTAAAAGTTGTTTATGAATGTGTGGGCGCAGACATCAACCTTAGGTTAATAATGATTAATAAGATCATTCATAAGACATTTAATATAGGTCCTTATGAACCATTTACTAATAATTAGTTAAGTCTTTCTGCGTGGCCTAATGTAAAGTGAGGCCTATTCATGAATACAGTTGAAGTCGGAAGTTTACATACACTTAGGTTGGAGTCATTAAAACTTGTTTTTCAACCACTCCACAAATGTCTTGTTAACAAACTATAGTTTTGACAAGTCGGTTAGGACATCTACTTTGTGCATGACACAAGTAATTTTTCCAACAATTGTTTACAGACCGATTATTTCACTTATAATTCACTGTATCACAATTCCAGTGGGTCGGAAGTTTACATACACTAAGTTGACTGTGCCTTTAAACAGCTTGGAAAATTCCAAAGAATGATATCATGGCTTTAGAAGCTTCTGATAGGCTAATTGATATCATTTGAGTCAATTGGAGGTGTACCTGTGGATGTATTTCAAGGCCTACCTTCAAACTCAATGCCTCTTTGCTTGACATCATGAGAAAATCAAAAGAAATCAGTCAAGACCTCAGAAAAAGAATTGCAGACTGGTTCATCCTTTGGGAGCAATTTCCAAAAGCCTGAAGGTACCACGCTCATCTGTACGCAAGTATAAACACCATGGGACCACGCAGCCGTCATACCGCTCAGGAAGGAGACGCGTTCTGTCTCCTAGAGATGAACGTACTTTGGTGCGACAAGTGCAAATCAATCCCAGAACAACAGCAAAGGACCTTATGAAGTTGTTGGAGGAAAGAGGTACAAAAGTATCTATATCCACAGTAAAACAAGTCGTATATATCGACATAACCTGAAAGGCCGCTCAGCAAGGACGAAGCCACTGCTCCAAAACCGGCATAAAAAAGCCAGACTACGGTTTTTAACTGCACATGGGGACAAAGATTGTACTTTTTTGAGAAATGTCCCCTGGTCTGATGAAACAAAAATAGAACTGTTTAGCCATAATGACCATCGTTATGTTTGGAGGAAAAAAGGGGGCTTGCAAGCCGAAGAACACCATCCCAACCGTGAAGCACTGGGGTGGCAGCATCATGCTGTGGGGGTGCTTTGCTGCAGGAGGGACTGATGCACTTCACAAAATAGATGGCATCATGAAGAAGGAAAATGATGTGGATATATTGATGCAACATTTCAAGACATCAGTCAGGAAGTTAAAGCTTGGTCGCAAATGGTCTTCCAAATGGACAATGACCCCAAGCATACTTCCAAAGTTGTGGCAAAATGGCTTAAGGACAACAAAGTCAAGGTACTGGAGTGGCCATCATAAAGCCCTGACCTCAATCCTATTGAAAATTTGTGGGCAGAACTGAAAAAGCGTGTGCGAGCAAGGAGGCCTACAAACCTGACTCAGTTACACCAGCTCTGTCAGGAGGAATGGGCCAAAATTCACCCAACTTATTGTGGGAAGCTTGTGGAAGGCTATCCGAAACGTTTGAACCAAGTTAAACAATTGAAAGGCAATGCTACCAAATTATAATTGAGTGTATGTAAACCTCTGACCCACTGGGAATGTGATGAAAGAAATAAAAGCTTAAATAAATCATTCTCTCTACTATTATTCTGACATTTCACATTCTTAAAATAAAGTGGTGATCCTAACTGACACAAGACAGGGAATATTTACTAGGATTAAATGTCAGGAATTGTGGAAAACTGAGTTTAAATGTATTTGGCTAAGGTGTATGTAAACTTCCGACTTCAACTGTACTATAAATGTTTTGATTGACAAGTGTAATTTCTTACAAAAAGATGGACATATCATTGGTAGACATTACAGCAGTACCTGATGCTCCTTAAGGTCTCAAAATAGCCTAGTACATTTCAATAAGAAAATAATAAGCACACAACACACAAGGAAATATATTGAACATTTTATTCACAAAAACTGCTGTAAAACAACTGTTGCAAGGACTTGAGGAAGAGTTGAACTGCGAATGCTTTGCTAAAGGCCCTTATTTTATTTTTATTTTTATTTAACCTTTATTTAACTAGGCAAGTCAGTTAAGAACAAATTCTTATTTACAATGACGGCCTACCAAAAGGCAAAAAGCCTCCTGCGGAGAAATTAGAGTTGATGTCCGCGCCAGTGTGGAACTCTATGTCTGTAAGTCGCTTTGGATAAAAGTGTCTGCTAAATGGCATATATTATATTATTATAGTATCAAATTAGCATAATATAAATATTTCCATCAAAATCCGTCTGTTTCAGCTACAGATATCTGTTTTTGCATGGGCTGCCGCTCAATCCACCGCATCCACCGATGTCGTCCTTACACATCTGCGGTAGAAGGTGGCAGAGATACAGCTGTGTTTGTCAGACCAAGAAACGTCCCGAATATTGGTCTTCTCACGAAAACGTCTGTAGAGTTCGAATGGCTTTACGACCCCTACAAGCGTCACAGGACTTGTCTGAAGTCGGAACAGCCATTGTGCCAAATTCTGTCTGTAGCGTCCGAACAGTTTGGGCTACACAATAATATGACCCCCTCAATGGAAAAAAGTTGATTCTCACAAACACGATGGTGTTCTCCATTTTTGCTCTATTACCCCCACAAGTGTCACGGGACTCGTTTGAAGGTAACCCGGTACCGGGCTGAAAAATGAATGGAAGTGAATAGGGCATTTCCACGTCAAAGGTGTACAGATCATTCCACTGTAAAAAAAAATAATATTCTGAGCTTTCTTATATCTCTCAGATATTGGACTGACACTTCCTTTTGATGAATTTTTGGACTATTTGTTTTTCCATGTATCTGTTATTCAATGCGTTTCTATAGCGTTAAGGCCAAATTCAATACTTATATATATACAGTGGGGAGAACAAGAATTGATACACTGCCGATTTCGCAGGTTTTCCTACTTACAAAGCATGTAGAGGTCTGTAATTTTTATCATAGGTACACTTCAACTGTGAGAGACGGAATCTAAAATAAAAATCCAGAAAATCACATTGTATGATTTTTAAGTAATTAATTTGCATTTTATTGCATGACATACAGTGAGGGAAAAAAGTATTTGATCCCCTGCTGATTTTGTACGTTTGCCCACAGACAAAGAAATGATCAGTGTATAATTTTAATGGTAGGTTTATTTGAACAGTGAGAGACAGAATACCAACAAAAAAATCCAGAAAAACGCATGTCAAAAATGTTATAAATTGATTTGCATTTTAATGAGGGAAATAAGTATTTGACCCCCTCTCAATCAGAAAGATTTCTGGCTCCCAGGTGTCTTTTATACAGGTAAGGATCTGAGATTAGGAGCACACTCTTAAAGGGAGTGCTCCTAATCTCAGTTTGTTACCTGTATAAAAGACACCTGTCCACAGAAGCAATCAATTAATCAGATTCCAAACTCTCCACCATGGCCAAGATCAAAGAGCTCTCCAAGGATGTCAGGGACAAGATTGTAGACCTACACAAGGCTGGAATGGGCTACAAGACCATCGCCAAGCAGCTTGGTGAGAAAGTGACAACAGTTGGTCAATCTCCCTCGGCCTGGGGCTCCATGCAAGTTCTCACCTCGTGGAGTTGCAATGATACCAAATATTAAGTTCTGTTTTTCTGATGTATGTACTTATGTCATGCAATAAAATGCAAATTAATTACTTAAAAATCATACAATGTGATTTTCTGGATTTTTGTTTTAGATTCCGTCTCTCACAGTTGAAGTGTACCTATGATAAAAATTACAGTCCTCTACATGCTTTGTAAGTAGGAAAACCTGCAAAATCGGCAGTGTATCAAAGACTTGTTCTCCTCACTGTAGGTGTTCCTCTTGTCCAGGTGGGAAAGGGCAGTGTGGAGTGCAACAGAGATTGCGTCATCTGTGGATCTGTTGGGGCGGTATGCAAATTGGAGTGGGTCTAGGGTTTCTGGGATAATGGTGTTTATGTGAGCCATGACCAGCCTTTCAAAGCACTTCGTGGCTACAGACGTGAGTGCTACGGGTCGGTAGTCATTTAGGTAGGTTATCTTAGTGTTCTTGGGCACAGGGACTATGGTGGTCTGCTTGAAACATATTGGTATTACAGACTCAGTCAGGGACATGTTGAAAATGTCAGTGAAGACACTTGCCAGTTGGTCAGCTCTCATCCATGCTTCAGTGTTGCTTGCCTCGAAGCGAGCATAGAAGTGATTTAGCTCGTCTGGTAGGGTTGTGTCACTTGGCAGCTCGCGGGCTGTGCTTCCCTTTGTGGTCTGTAATAGTTTTCAAGTCCTGCCACATCTGACGAGCGTCAGAGCCGGTGTAGTACGATTCAATCTTAGTCCTGTATTGACTCTTTGCCTGTTTGAGGGCTCTTCGGAGGGCATAGCGGGATTTCTTATAAGCGTCCGGGTTAGAGTCCCGCTCCTTGAAGGCGGCAGCTCTACCCTTTAGCTCAGTGCGGATGTTGCCTGTAATCCATGGCTTCTGATTGGGGTATGTTCTTACGGTCACTGTTGGGACGACGTCATCGATGCGCTTATTGATGAAGCCAGTGACTGATGTGGTGTACTCCTCAATGCTATCTTAAGAATCCCATAATTTATTTCAGTCTGTGCTAGCAAAACTGTCCTGTAGCTTAGCATCTGTGTCATCTGACCACTTCCTTATTAACCGAGTCACTGGTGCTTCCTGCTTTAGTTTCTGCTTATAAGCAGGAATCAGGAGGATAGAGTTATGGTCAGATTTGCCAAATGGAGGGCGAGGGAGAGCTTTGTACGCGTCTCTGTGTGTGGAGTAAAGGTGGTCTAGAGTTTCTTTCCCTCTGGTTGCACATTTAACATGCTTTTAGAAATTAGGTAGAACGGATTTAAGTTTCCCGGCATTAAATTCCCCGGCCACTATGATCGCTGCCTCTGGATGAGCGTTTTCCTGTTTACTTATGGCCTTATACAGCTCATTGAGTGCAATCTTAGTGCCTGCATCGGTTTGTGGTGGTAAATAGACAGCTCCGAAAAATATAGATGAAAACTCTTGGTAAATAGTGTGGTCTACAGCTTATCATGAGATACTCTACCTCAGGCGAGCAAAACCTCGAGACTTCCTTAGTATTGGATTTTATGCACCAGCTGTTGTTTACAAATATACACAGACCACCACCCCTTGTCTTACCAGAGTCAGCCGTTCTATCCTGCCGATGTAGCGTATATCCCGCCAGCTGTATGTTATCCATGTCGTCATTCAGCCACGACTCGGTGAAACATAAGATATTACAGTTTTTAATGTCCCGTTGGTAGGACAACCGTAATCTTAGGTCGTCTAATTTATTTTCAAATGATTGAACATTGGCTAATAGGATTGGTGGAAGAGGCAGTTTACTTGCTCGCCTTACAAGGCACCCCGACCTACTTCCACGATATCTCCGTCTCTTTCTCATGCGAATGACAGGGATTTGGGCCTTGTCGTGTGTCTGCAGGATATCCTTTGCGTCCGACTTGTTGAAGAAAAAAATCTTCATCCAATACGAGGTGAGTAATCGCTGTCCTGATATCCAGAAGCTCTTTTTGGTCATAAGAGACGGTGGCAGAAACATTAGGTACAGAATAAATTACAAATAACGCAAAAAAACACAGAATAGTACAATTGGTTAGAGGGCTGTAAAGCGGCTGCCATCTTCTTCGGCTCAATTCTCACAATTTATGTTTTTTGCGACTGCACTTGAAGAAACTTTGAAAGATCTTCACATTTTCCGGATTGCCTGACCATCATGTCTTAAAGTAATGATGGACAGTTGTTTTTCTTTGATTATTTGAGCTGTTCTTGCCATAATATGGACTTGGTCTTGTACCAAATAGGGCTATCTTCTGTAACTCTTATGTTTTCCCCTCTTCTCTGACCTCACCAACCCCCATTAGCATCCTTTTTTATTTTCTTCATCACAGAATTCAAAGTTCAATTGTATTCTGCCATGTGAATGACTGAGTTGAACTTTAACCATACAGGCCTCCATGACAATCCCTGGGTGTGTGACTGCCGCCTGTATGACCTGATCCAGTTCCAGAAGTCGCCAACTCTCTCCGTGGCATTCATCGACACGCGCCTCCGCTGCTCCGCACCCGAGAGCCTGTCAGGTGTTCTGTTCAGCGACGCCGAGCTGCGGAGGTGCCAGGCGCCGCGCATTCACACAGCAGTGGCACGAGTCCGCAGCACCTTGGGAAACAATGTGCTGCTGCGCTGCGGGACCATCGGCATTCCCAGTCCGGATCTGGCCTGGCGGAGGGCGGATGGGAAAGCCCTGAACGGGACAGGTAAGACAGCAAGGGATGTGTGTAGGTGTGTGTGAGTGCATGTGTGTGTGCGTGTGCTTCTCTTTCTCTGGGCTCAATTCAATCTCTATCACTGCGTTACAGATTGCGCAATATAAATCTTAAACGTGTTTTCCAATTGAGCCGACATATGCAGCGTTTACCATGAATGCAGTCTCCACTAACACGGGAACATTGCCTTTAAATTTCAGTCACGGTGTAACGCTGATTGTCTACAATACCGATTGAATAGAGCCCACTTTGTGTGTGTGTGTTTCCGCGCGTGCGTCGGGTGGTTGACACACTTTCATTCAGTCTGCCCTGTAGCGTTAATACATTGGTAATTAAACAGAGAGCTAGGCCTATATCCTTGGTGGCCCCACAGATGTCCTACGGCCACCAAGGATATAGCTCTAGCTCTCTGTTTAATGACCAATGTATTAACGCTACAGGGCAGACTGAATGAAAGTGTGTCAACCACCTTTTAATGTAAAGGACGTGATTCATTCCAGAAAAGTAAATTATTGGACATTTTAGATATTGGTGGCCAGTTTTCTGGACACAGATTAAGGATGTTCCTGGACTAAAAAGCATTTTAAATGGGAATCTCTCTCTTTGTATGACTTTTTGTATTATTTTATTTAAATGTTGTACTCTGACTAATAGTGTGTCCATGTCACTTCTCTGGCGCTACAGTCCAGCAGGAGAACTCCAAGGAAGGCATCATCTGGTCCATCCTCAGTGTCCCGGCCGTGTCCTACCGCGACTCAGGGAAGTATGTCTGCAAGGCCAATAACTACGCCGGCAACGCCGAGGCCGTCATCTCCCTAGTCATCTCCGAAGCACCCCTGAAACCTGACAACAACAACAACCAAACCAGCGTGGTTGCTGCTGCTGCCGTAAAAAAAAACAAAGTCAAGAAACCCAACGGGATAGGGAAAGCAGCATACCAGGAGAAACTGGTGGCTAGGTTAGGGGTTCCCACCCCCAGCCCTCCACCCCCACTTGTTGTGGTGGACTCCAGCCCTGTGCCTGAGGGTATGGGGAGAGTGGCAGATAGAGCCACCCCTGGACCAGCTACTTTGCCTAGTCCAGACGGACTCCTGGAGCTGGAGAAAACCAACCTGAGCAACCTGGCCCAGGCCCAGTATGACCCAGACCGGATAGTTCGCTCGGTCAAGGTGTTGGGCGACACAGAGAACACCATCACCCTGAACTGGCGGGCACCCAAGGCCAAGAACACTACAGCCTTCAGCGTGCTCTACGCTGTCTTCGGCGAGCGGGATATGCGCAAGATCAATGTGGCAGCGGGCCAGAATCGCGTCTTCATCGAGGGCCTGGTGCCCAAGACCAAGTACATTGCTTGCGTGTGCGTCCGGGGCCTGATCCCCAAGAAGGAGCAGTGCGTCATCTTCTCCACCGACGAGGCGGCCAGTGCCGCTGGCACCCAGAAGCTCATCAACGTCATCGTGATCACGGTGGCGTGCGTCATCGCCGTGCCGCTCACCGTCATCGTGTGCTGTGGCGCACTCAAGAGGCGCATCCAGAAGATGTGGGGCAAGAAGTCCAAGGACATCCAGGATTCATACGTGACTTTTGAGACGCTGTCCCCCGGGACCAAGGCTAAAGGGTTGGAGGGTGAGTACCTGACCAGACTCAAACCTGAGGAGTCCAACCGACTGCTGTCTGCCCGTTCCAGTCTGGACTCAGAGGCCACAGCTAAGATAGAGGGACAGCCCAATGAGTACTTCTGCTGACATCATGCTCCAGCTCCCTCCCCATGCTATCACCCCCGCTCACACCCTCTGGCTCAACACAGCCCCACACACACACCTCATCTACAGCATAACCCCACACACACACTTCACCCCCATCAAAGCCCCACACACACACCTCATCTACATCATGGCCCCACACACACGTCTCATCCTCACACACCTAACTCTCATCACAGCCCCACGCACACGTCTCATCCTCACACACCTCACTCTCATCACAGCCCCACGCACACGCCTCGTGCTCACCACAGCCACACACACACACCTCGTGCTCATCATAGCCCCACACACAAACCTTGTCCCCACACACCTGATCCTTTCTCTCACCCTCACCAAAGCCCCACACACACATTTTATACTCTCCCTCACTTTCAGCAAAGTCCCACAGACACATCTCGTCGTCACCACAGCCCCATACACAAACCTCACACTCTCCCTGAGGTTCACCACAGCCCCACACAAACACCTCGTCGAAATGCTCACACTCACCACAGTCCCACACACACACCTCGCTGTCTCCCGTTCAGTTACGGTAGCCCCACACACACATCTGGTTCTCTCCCTTTCTCTCACCTTAGCCGCCCACACACACACTCACACAGGGCACAGGACTCTCTCCCACCTCTCCCCCCATGTTGGGCTCCACCACATAGGGGGTTCTATCAGAGGATGCTTGGACAATGCACCATCATGGAAATTTCAGTTTAAAGGAATTCTGTCACTTTTATTCTTTTTTTTTGTTTTTTTTGTTTTTCATCTGAAATGTATAGTATTTCAACAGAGATAATTTGAATGATGTAACTAGTTTTTACACGTTTGGGGAACTATCCGTTTTAAATGAGCCCTCAAATGAGGCCCCAGATAGTATTTAATTCAAATACATTTTTCATAGTTAAAGGACAATTCAGCCCCTTTATAACCAGTTATTATGCTGTTAGTATATATGCACTACTGTAAGATTTCATACACATTGTGATGTTCTGTCCTTTCTGTTAGTCATACTGCATGATTCCTAGTTTTGTCAGTTTGAAGCTTCTGCATTCCCCTCATCTACAGCATTCTACAATTCCCAGGGTGCAATTCGTCTCCCATGATGCAATGCTCCACCTAGTTAGCCTGCAGTTAGCTTAGGTAGCTGGCTATCAAGCCCAGATGAAGCTTAGACTAAATACATTGCTTATGTCATAAGTTTTGAGCGCATTTCACATTCATTTTGGGTTGTAGATATGTTATAATGCTTGCCTGAATGTCATAGGGGCCGATTCCGACCAGAGTTAAGCACGCGTAAATGGAAAGTAAGTCCCTTTTTATGAACTTTTCTCTCTATGCGTATTCTGACCTTGAACTTAAGCATGAGAATAGCATGCAATTAATCCGCTATTTGTTGGGGGTGGAGATCAAATAAATGAAGGTGTGGTGGTGTGTGTACAGATACGCCGTATTCTGACTTTGACATAATTCCCTCATAATTCCACCACTTTTACACGCAATGAAATGATGAATAAGGTCGAGCAACCTGTTGGTTCCAAATGGAACATCTACTTTATTTTTTCCAATAGAAATAACACCATTCTCCATGCACTGAATTTTTCAAATTGATAAGAGCTATTGATAAGACCTGGGTAAATGAGTAAGTCGTTTGGATAAGGGGATTGTAACTATAAATTACAATTGTTTTAGATATATTTTACCTTATGATCACTTGTGACAAATGTGAAACCAGTCATATGGCAGCAAACTGAAGCATATCAACATTCTGTATCACCTTTTCCACAGTGAAGTGTATGAAATGCTGGCCTTGGCATGGAACTTGGGATGAAATTGGAGACCCAAGCTATAGATTTCTGTAGCCATGCGCAAATGACAGTATAGCGCCAAACCTACAGAGTTCATTTATGATTTCTAGAATGTTTTAATTATATGCTCAGATTTTTCACTGTATTTTTTAACAATTTGTATCTTTAAATATTAGCCATTGTTGGTAGCCACCATCAGTTATATCCACATACATTCATAACTGTCACTGACTTGAGTCTTAGTTTCCTGGCATTTTGAATCATTCCATTACATCGTTAGTTTAACTTAATTTCCTCCATCATGTTCGTGTGCTTGTTCCTGAGCATCACTAGTGGATCATATTAGGCTAATGTATTACGAGTTGTGCATTAATTTGGGACATGTAGCCTATTTGAATCATTATGGAACGCAGACCACACGTAGCAGTTTAAAGCTGGAGCACGGTTCATGACGACTCAACCGTTATCATCACAGTTCATGGTTAGTGAGGAATATTAGAGTACATTTATAGGACTACTGTTCAACCCTATTGTACACTTTTCTTACCTTCTAATATTTATTGGATTGAACAATTGAATAGGGCAACTTTCAGGATGAATCAAACCACTGTATTTTTCATTCACAAATATATTTATACAATTTGATTTGATTTGATTGTTGTGCGTAAAGGCACTCCAAACCAGTTTTTTTTATTTTTATTATTTATAAATACTTTCCTAACCCTAAATAATATAGAAGTTCAGAGTATCTTTAAATATATCAACTGGTGCTGAAAAGGAGATGAATATGTGTGTATACTCTGGATAAGAGCGTCTGCTAAATGACTGAAATGTAATTTAAATGTATTTAGGCATATATGGCTTTCTTTCATTGGTCCCTAATATTCTGAACCGTTCTCCCCATATATTCTAGTACACCAAATTCAAAGGCATAGCTTTAGATAAATGTACTGAAAACCAGGGACGGCCTGTTCAATAGGGCGATATGGGCGACGCACTGCCAAACGGGAAAAGGAAGGGATTTTTTTTCTAATCAATTATATCACGGCAACAGTAGTTTTCAGTGTTGTAATCTATACGTCTGATCTGCCACAGTGCCACACTGCCACTAAATGTCGAATCAGGCTAAAGTCGTGCTTCAAATGGCTCCCCCCCCTTTTTGGGCGATTTCAGTCAGGTTGAAAATCGCCCAGAAGTCTGTCATAGACTCCCATGTAAAATCTATTTTTTTCAAATTTCAGAGCCTTCAATACAATCTCAATGGGTGTCTGTGGGCTTGCACTTACGCGCTTTCGTCATACGTTACGTAACCATGAACGTAACTGAGAAAAGAGCGGATTGTGTCTTTGAAAGAAGTTCCTTTTTGTCGGCGAACAAATGAAGATAAATTGGCAACGAAACAATTAGGACCTCCCAGACCAAATGTAATAATTCAACAGGTTTCTACTAAAGGCGGAAAGTCCTACACCCGAGGATTTTCCAAAAATTGGTACGAACGAAAAAAGACATTGCCACTCACTCAACTGGATGAGGGATACAGGCTAGCTGTCCGCCGCCACAACGATGAGGTTAGTGTTGATCAGATAAGAGAAATTGCTGCAGCTACATATATTTTACATCCTGGCCCTACATAGTTCACTATTTGCATCACTTACCAAAATATTACATGTGGTCATATATGCTTGGAAAGTGGAGATGCCATAGAACGTCAAAAAAGTAAACATTGCTGGAGACACATTGCCGTTTTGGAGAAGACATCGCGTTTGCTAGCGAAGAGATTTGTTGTGGCAAATGAACTTGGGCTGGGAATTGCCAGGAACCTCACGATAAGATATATGCATCAGCATTGCGAGTCTCATGATTCTATACGTATTGCGATTCGATACTGTGATTTTATTGCGCACCATATGTCTGTTGCAGAGGGATCAGAAAGCCATGAGAACGAGTTTTGATCAGTCATGGAAATAAAAGTGCTGAAAACAAATTGGCTCCCAATGTGAAAAGATTGAGAACAAGCTATGAAGGAACAATAATGGTGTTTTGGTGGAGGTACAGCCAACTAGCGCTAAAATATTGCGATATTGTCAATACAGTATATCGTAAAGTATCACTATGTAACTCGATTTCTTTCACCCCAATCCCTCAAATTAACGGGAAATAACTGAATTGTTTGCCCCACATTTAGCTAAGATGATTAGCTAGCCAGCTAAAATGTTTTATTTAGTTAGCAGTCGCATCTACAATAGTTTACTGTCAATAACATGTCTCCAAAAATGACGTGGTGTCTCCAATTGTGTTGACATTTTACAATTGCGATGCGCATCCATGAGTATCCACTTTCTGTAGCTCAGCTGGTAGAGCATGGTGCTTGTAACGCCAAGGTAGTGGGTTCGATCCCCGGGACCACCCATACACAAACATGTATGCACGCATGACTGTAAGTCGCTTTGGATAAAAGCGTCTGCTAAATGGCATATTATTATTATTATTATTATTATCTGAAGAGAGCCCCGAAACATTGTGTGCAGACATTTTATGCAATAAATGAAGTAGGTTGAATCTAGTAGTTCTGATCTTCTGATTGGTCCTGATGAGTTGGGCGAGGTCCCCTCCAGGCTACTGTCACTGTTGCATTGGCTCTGAGTCGGGTTCTCTGTCTTCAAATGTTCAGCCTAAGAGAGGGGATTTTTGTGTGTGTGTGTGTGTGTGTGTGTGTTTAACAGTGATGATGTGTGTGTGTGTGTGTGTGTGTGTGTGTGTTTAACAGTGATGATGTGTGTGTGTGTGTGTGTGTGTGTGTGTGTGTGTGTGTGTGTGTGTGTGTGTTTAACAGTGATGATGTGTGTGTGTGTGTGTGTTTGTGTGTGTGTGTGTCCTCAGAGCAAGAACTTGTGAGTTGGAAGAACTGAGAGGCCTATGGCGTGGGTGTTGTCCTTGGCCACCTGCTGACAAGGCTGACAAGATAGGACCCTTTTGTCCATTGTTATTGGATAGGAACAGAACTTATAACCAGCTCCTGACCTAAATAGATCTTAGCACAACATTTTACTCAACATATCATATTCCATATTCACTATAACAAATATATTTACTACGACATTAGCAAGAACCGCCACATCCTCAGCCGGCTAATCCAGTGTGTGAAGTTTTGCAGAGTGTTTGAGTTAGCTTTGCGAGGCAAAG